GCTAAAGAAAATTTCAGACGCTTCTGAAGGGCTAATATCCACAAACTTCAAGAATGAAAATGTATCTATATAGGATATTATTAAAGGTAAAACACTCGGCTTAAACAATAAATAATTAAAATTGAAAATTGAATTTACCGTTTTTTTCGTCACACAATGACTTATTTATATAATCGGGTCGCCAAATATTCATCATATGATTAAGGATATTAGAACGAGATCCAGCATTTGAATTATCACCAGGTACATTCAAAAAGCCTGTCAATGTTACACATAAATATTAATTTGATTCTTCGTTGTTAGAAAGTACAAAAAAAAGCTACCTCCACTTCGGAATATCGTTTTAGGAATTTTATAGGTAAGCACATTTTTTGTAGAATATGGAAGGTATAAATGTTCTTCTCGGGATATAATGAATGTAGAACTATAATTACAAAAAGCAAAAGGAGCAGATACATCTGCTCTATCAAATAATTCCGGATGATTACACACTTTACGAAATTGCATTACTAAATTCATTAAACTATCGACATTATCATTGTCAGGCCATGTTGCAGCTTTTTCTAATAATTCTGTTACTGAAATCTTATCACGAAGACCACGATATAGAACACGTTGCCTCGCCGTTAGCTGACAAAATACTTCTTTCTCTATTTTGTCTCCAAGTTCATTTTGAACATTTTTCTTTACACGGCGCAGCATGAAGGGTTTTAAAATCATGTGTAGCCGTTTAAGTTGATGCTCATTTAACGAACCCTTATTTTCAGCATGACTTTCAATGTCCTTAGAAAACCATTCACTAAATTCCTGATGCGAGTCAAAAAGAGTTGGCATAATAAAATGTAAAAGTGCCCACAATTCTTGCATACTGTTTTGGATCGGTGTGCCAGTCAGCAAGAGTCGATTACGACATTGAAAACCAAGAAGAGTTTTCCAGCGCGCGCTAAATAATTATCAATCATTACTATGTATCTTTGATATAAGACTGTTTATATAACATCATATGTTACCTAGTAGAGCTCTTGATAGCTTGTGCTTCATCTAAAATCATATATTGCCATTTTGTTCTTGAAAAGTAACCCTGATCTTGAACAATCTATAAAAAAATTTTTTTTAACTAAATCTGTGTGATTGAATTTATGTAATTCTATAAAAAAATTATTCGTACCAATTGGTAGCTTGTGATAACGACATGGAATGGGGCATCTTGATTAAATATTAGATTTCTTTTATTTAAGGATTTTCTTAATATAGCTCGGTCTTTCATAGTGCCCCAATATGGCAAAATCTAGAAGGAAAGTATAATTAGTCATATATTTAATGTGCCATTTCTAAATTTGTACTTTACCCTAAAAGCGGGAAGAAATTCAGCTATTTCTTTTTGCCAATTATGAAGAGTAGACGCTGGTGCGATTACTAAAAATGGACCCCATATGTTATGAGTCTATAAATATAATATATATATTAGAATTAGGCACTAAATTGGATTTCGACAATAACAAAATTACCTCCGCAAGATGAGCCATCAACGATATAGATTGGACTGTCTTTCCCAACCCCTAAGTCAAGCAATACTTCTAGTGATGAATCGTAGAATATAACTTAAAACGTTAAACAAGCCTAAATGCCTACCATTTCATCAGCCAAAATTCCATTAATACCCTTTGTAATGATCATTATATTTATATGCAATTAGCGAAATATTTAAATAACAATAGCATATTTTTACATAATAACATATATACCTGCTCATAAAGGTTAGCTAGCCAATTTAATCCTCTTAACTGATAATCCTTCAACGTAACTTTTACTAGTATAGATGGTTGTTTAATTTCTGCCATTGATGGCATACTGGATGGATTTTGAAAGTTCATTTGATCCACTAATATCATCGATAATAGTGACAATAATGATGAAATTAGTTTAACTAATCTAAAATAAAATATAAGCCATAAATTTATACTTACAATCTTGGTTCGTTACAGAAATCTCATTTGATCCACTACTAGTTCTTTCACCATCAAAATCAGCTGTATGTTTTTTGACTTGTTTAAGAGCATTTTGTGCAATTATGCGTGCCTTTTCTCTAAGAGCATCTTCAGAGTCTATTCAATATTATTTAATATAAAAAGTATGAATATCAATCAAAAAATAATAGCGAAACATTTGATAGTGACGTTAATTGTATCAAGGCACCTTCATCAAAATCAATATCCGCGAAAGATGGGGGAACGGGGACCTCTGATTCAGCATCCATGTCCATGTCTATATTCAAATCAGCAGTTGAAGATTCTGTGATTTGATCGTTGGTCACTACATCAGCTTGATTAGAATTTTCTGAAACTTCGTTTGTCGTTTGGGCTTATTATTCAATTGTATGAAATGAATATTTTTATATCATTTTTAAATAAACATTAATTTCATAAATTATAAAGTTCTTACTCCCAATTTTTTTTCCGACAAAATGACTATAAAGTTCAGTTTGAGTTATGAGGAAATTTAGTTTACGCGCTTGTCTTTTCGCTTCTCGTAGCTCTTCTTCCACTCGCATTCTCTCTAAAGCTTCCCTTTCCGCTTTTTTACGCAATTCACGTTCTTCCTTTTCATTACGTTTCCAAAACATGAGCATCTATTTTTTGAACAACAGTTAATACATATCGTATATCAAAACTAACCCGACTTATTAATAATATACAAAATAGTACCTGTTTATTGGCCTGTTTAACTCTACTTTGGATATCTTTTGCAGATTTACACGATTTCCCAGCAGCTTTACGAGCTTCTTTCTGACATAATTGTGCAACTTTGCGACAATTATTAGCTCGAGAAGTTGTAGTCTGAATTACAATTTTATTCATCTATAAAATGTAGCACGAAAACTTTAATTTTTATCTATATAAAGAATCAAATGCTAGTACTATTCCAAAAACGTACCCTAGGTATAGCATTACGGACAATGTCTTTCCATATTTTTCGTCGTTCTTCTACCTCTATTGCATCTCTATGTTTTTGAGCCTTCGCATCATGAGGTTGGCGCCTTAATCCAGCAATATCACTCTAATATGAAGAATATAATTATGGAAAGAATTCAAATATTAAAATTTAACAAACGTGATAATTATGCACTAACATCTTCATCAGTTTCAGTAGGTGGTTCCACGTAATGTTTTCGCTTTTCTTTTTTGTGTCTCGATCTACTTTTAAACGAGCCCATATCATTTTCCTTATCAGATGTTCTATGTGGAATGCGTAGGCTAATCCGACTTAAAAATTTCCGACGGAGAGTTTCTTTCTTCATCTAACAAGATGATGCCGTCATATTAAAAAGTTTTTTTTTCCTAAAAAAAGCACACTTTTAATAATCACGTACCCTGCATCTTCTCTCGTATTCATCCACAACACGTTTTTGACGTTGATATACTTCTACCATGTAATTAATTAACTCTTCGCTGTATTTTTCTTCTATAGTGCCATCGGAATCACTCTCTTCAGATCCAGTTGATTCACTTGATTGACTTGTGCCATATCCTGCTTTTGAGCTTAAAGCCGTTGCACCCGAAGATTCAGATGAATGACTCAGTTCCTGAGTGTCAATTCCTGCAACGTCAATGCGTGATGATTTTTTGGTCTTTGACACTTTATTTTGCGGTTTCTGATTAGATTGAGGTCGTTGTTTTGGTGATGTGACTCGTTTTGTACGAGCAATCGGGGAAACTTTTAATGTTGGAGATGCGGAAGTGGCTGGTAACTTACGATTGCTTTGAGAAAGCTGAAAAGTTTGTGGAGCAGAAATTATTTTTAGATTATCTGGTTCTTGAGATTCACGAGTCGAAGGATTGCTTGACGATTGTGAATTTTGATTTTGTTTTAATTTCTGATTATAGTTAACCAATAGAGAAAATGTATAAGAGATCAAAGTATATATTTTAAGCGAATCATAAAAAGTTAAGGTCAATCATACAGCATAACCTCGGATGTAAATAAGTTCAGAAGCTGGAGTTTTTGTTGTTCAAATATATAAAAATATTTCGTTAAATTAAGGTTGAATTTTTATAAACTAGTGAAAGTTTCATTATATCGAATTTCGTTATACAAAACTTTTGTTACATCGAGGTTATACTGTATTAATAGTTATCCTGATTTATTGAAAGAAAATAATTGTATCGATAGAATAGAAAATTTAAACAACGATAAACACATACCACAGCGAATCCCATCTCTGGTTCAGGTATTTTACGTGGAGGTGGAATAATTTTTAATTCTTCCTCTTCAGTGGATTCGCCTTCTGATCGGTCCGATCCATGTAAACTCGCATCAGTGTTTGCATCTGAAGCAGTTATAGCACTCTCTTTATCTTCCGTACTATCCGTTGGAGCATGTGTCAAATTTGATCTACTATATGGGCCACCATCAAATGCACCACCGGGGCCATTCTGTGATTTCGTAAATTGGAAGCTGGTATCTTCATTCGGATCTCTACTCAAAAGTTGATTAATGGACATAGGTAAAGGGCGTAATGTCTTTAAAAAGATAACGTATATAAGTCTTAATTAATGAATTTGTTCGATTTTATTATTTCATTTTAGTTTCAATTAAATACCTCGTGAGGCACAACACCGGCATTTTCGTGGATACGATGCAAAGAGTTTTGGTTTACATTTGAATTATGAATAAACGATAATGTTTGCTGTGGCACTGAAAATTATAGATCGAAATAAATAAATCATATAAAAGTTTGAAATAATAAATAAATCGTTGCTTATAATTCTTTTTTTATTTACCGTGATCCACTTTGTACTGTGTGCCCGGTAGCTTGTATTGTATTGTAATGAAAAGAAAAAGAAAAAAAAAAAAAAAGAAAAAAAAAACAAGATTAACTTGTATTTCTATAATAAATCTTAAATTTATGAAACTTAAATCTAGTCGCGTTATACTTAAAAAAATAAATAGAAAAAACCACTTACCTGATGAGCAGAAGGCTCGGAATAACCCCAGGAAGTGTTATTGTAAGCTGGTAAATGGCGCTGAATCGAAAGGATCGACGGTTGAAGAGAATGTGATAAGGTGGAGGGAGTAGACAAAGTGGTAGGAGGATAATCGTTATGATTATGTCCATAATGCGTGTTGTTCGTTTGTGAATTATACGAAAACGATAAAGTCGGCTGAGTATAAGGTGCCGCGTGAGAAGCTAAGGGAGGAAGCGAATAGTGGCTGGATGTGTGTGACATTGGTTGATCGTCTGAATTCAACAAGTTGTTTAAATTGAGAGCGGAGGTCCTATTAGAAGGAGGTGGACGCTGAGGTGGGTGGTCTGACGAGTAAGACCGAGATGAAGAATGGGCGCGGTCCCTCGCTGAATAATTATAGCTTGACATGATTTATTTGTGAGAAAGTCAGGGTATGCACCGAGCGCTTTTGAGTTTGATGGGTTGAGGCAGTTGCCTCACTTTATAGTTTTGATTTTCGCCGGCATGTGCATTCATTTTTTTATATATGATTGATACGGTTTATAGTGATACGAAAATAAGAGAGTAATTGATCATAACATTATCATAAAGATACTAACAGATTGTCCGTCACACGATACTTTCAAGGCAAGTGACACGACATACAAAACTTCAAAACTCAAAAAAACTATAAATAAACAATCTAAATCTGAGTATAAACCTGTTTTATCATATAACAAATTGAGACTAATATTACTTTCATTAAAGTCTTGAAAGATTATTTTGCTTTTCTAATTCAATTTCGCGTCCTTTATTTTGAACAGAGCTTCGTTTTTTATCCGAATAATATTAATAATACTCGAATTATTCAGGCCTATATATATAACTTGCCAAATAACTAATATATCAGATAGTTATTTGACGAAAAGCAACCAATAACTAAAGTTTCACGTGATAAATAATAGATTGTTATTCGAACACGAAGCTCTAATCAATACCAATACCGCGAAATCTAGGTACCGCACGTGAATAATTCATATGATTATTGGTACGTCTACGGACAGTGCTTACGGAGAGTAATCAACATTATCTAAAAAATAAAACTTACTCTAACAAATCACGCGAATTTACACTGTCACCAAGCACTGTACATAGAATTTCAACCGGTACATATGTAGAAATCTGTATCACGTTAATCGCTCACTACCAAGTCTTCTTTCATGTTCAATTTATCAGATTCCTTATGAGACCTCCCTACTAAAACAATTTTGGCCTCAGATCTAAAATGTAAAATTTTAGCATGCGTAAGCAATATATTAAAAATTCATTAGAGAAAAATTTTGGTTCCATTAACTCGCCCTATATCGAATTCTTTTGAGCTTAAGGTTTGGGAAATCAAAATATCATCTTGCTCAGAAATGGGCATGACTCGGTCGCTGAGTGCTCGATTCACGTTGATCTTACTTAGGATGTGTTAACTTAAACCAAGCTAGTTAATTAAGACGATTATGACATAACACTAATGACTATTTGGCCGGCCACTGGCCACGACCAATAGCCAGGACGAAAAGGTTAAAATATAAATAAATGAAACGACCAAATATTTATATCATAAAGCTAGTAATTTGATTGGTCCATATTATGTAAATTAAAATTTTTGGCCACTGGCCCGTTGTTTTTGACAATGGCTGACGTTCGATCTACCAAGTTGCTAACACTACCATAAATCAACTCTTAAATTGATTCGACTCAACCCGAGTCAATTCGAGAATCGATTTACGAGCCAATTCGAGTCATAAAATTAACTTAGCTTTAAGTCAAGTTAGTTTAATCGAGTCGCGCCCATCTGAGAAGAACTAAAGACGCAGGTGAAGTTAAATCGGGGTGATGAAATAATTTTCACCATTATTGATGAGATTGATGTTGAATTAGTGAAATTAATTAGATGTTTAGATGCCTAAGCCGAAACAGATGATATATTTTTCCTTACTTTTGCATGCGGTCATTCATATTTCATGTTCGGTAACGTAACGGATTGTAACGGATTCCAGGTATATCAGTAGTATCAACTTTTATTCAGATTTATGACCCTCCTTTCGAGCATTATAAGAGAAAAAAAATAATGTTAAAAAAATTTCTATAATAAGAAATCCCTACATTCATTCTTAGCTTAGGATACTATTTTCGGTGAGTCAATTCGAAAACGAACTTAAAAGCGGAATATCATACTAGAAGTGACTCTTGCCCCCACGCAATGACCCACTAAATGCGTTTTCACATGAGCAACGCAGGTTTTGAAGTAATACAAAATCCGTTACACATTGCCGTAGCATATCATATATATTTTAAAGCTCCGTAACAAAAACAGTACCAACTATAATGTCTCTAACAGATCTACCTTATGCTGTCGACGCAGAATCACCATTAACTATCGAAGAATTGAGTGTAAACTACTCACATTTCATATTATTTTGTGTAGTTATAAAAACTATTTATATTTAATGTTTTGAATTATAGGTGCTTCGTAGACAATTTGAAAAAGAAGTAAGAGAAGACGACGTTACAACACAAACAAAATTCAATTACGCATGGGGTCTGATCAAAAGCAGAAGGAAAAATGAACAACAGCTGGGAGTTAGGCTGCTTGCAGGTAAACTTTTTTTGTCTCACATCAACTAATATTTACTATTCTTATGTACATTATATTTGTCATGCAGAAATATTTAGGGAATCACCTGAACGTCGTCGCGAGTGTCTATATTATCTTGCCTTGGGTCACTTTAAATTAGGAGAATACACACATGCCAGGGACTATAATGATCAACTTCTCCAAAGAGAACCCAATAATTTACAAGCTCAGAATTTAAAAAAACTCATAGAAGATAAACTTAACAGAGGTACATTTTTAATTTCTAAATTTATTTTTTTCATTCAAATCAATTTCTCTTAACGTGAATCTCAATAGAGGGGTTGGTGGGCGCTATGATCATGTCGGGAGTCGTTGGAGCTATTGCAATTGGCGGTTTATACATCGCATCATTATTCAAAGATAAGAGAAGATAAAAGATATGTAGTATCCAAAAATTAAACTTTAATTTAGTTAAGGCTTATGGCAAAATAAAATAATTTACTTGCATGTCATAATTTATTGCATAAGATAACTTTAGATTGTTAATTAATCTTGAAAAGTAAGTATAAGGATTATAAAATTGAAAGCGAATAATTTTACATAACGATAAGATTGGATAATTGGGTATATAAAAATCAGAGTTGGCCTTGATCAATCAAATTAGTCCAATTGTATTATAATATATTCTTTATATACAATATATTATACATCATATTTGTGTATTTTGATTGATTTGACCAGACCATTCGACCAACGACCATAAATTTTACCAACCTCCTTTCTATAGGTCCATTATTTCATTCGAGACGATCAGAAACAGTAGTTCATACTGTTTTTTTTCATCTGATGATTAGAACTCTTCTTTTCTATATCTAAGCCATAATTGAATAGGCAATCTCCAATCTTTTCTATTTACTTTTGGTTCAAATACATTAAAATTATATTTTTCTAATCTCTTTAGGTATAAATCGCAAGGCACCTATCCAAAAAGGGTTGAAATGTTTTAAATAAATATCAATAATATATTATACGTTTTCTGTTATCTTAATAGAATATTTACTTACAGCTGACAATAAAGCAGGTAAAGCTTGGCCAGGTATATATGGCAAGAATGATCTAGCAGTAAGTAAATGATCGTGAGCCAGTGTGGCTATTTCAAAAACAACATCATCTAACCCCTTAACGGGACCTGATCTAAATATTTCTTCTTGTGAAATGTTATGCTGGAAATGCAAAACCGAATTTATATGTATTATGATAAATACTTAACCAAATTTGTAATAAGAGTACCTTTGCGATGAGTTCAGTAGGTAATAGCATCCTTCTTTTACTAGCAAGATAAGGAAATGCCCTTAGAATAGTCACAATTCCGATAGCTTTTCCAATATGACTTGCGGCATGATCAGCTTGCATATCTTTAACGTTCAAAGATTCAAGGTGTAAATATAAAAGACATGATGCAGTATTTTCACCATATGATTCTAGATCTTTAATACTGAAATACGGTAAATCATCTAAATTTGCTTCCTAAAAATATTAAATAGTAGTGAATTGCTTGGAACGAACAGTGAAATTATTGAATACTAACCCTTTCATCGATAACTCTTTTAAAAAACAGGGGTGACAATCGGCAAGTCTCTAAAGCATTGAATAAGGCTTGAGCAATTGGCTGTTGAGGTGGCTTACCCTAATATAAAATTAGTAATACATTAAATTTTGTGGGGTATATGAGAGAAATATCTAAAGACGAACCTTGAACACATTATCAATGGTATCACGCCAAAATTGCATCCTTATCTTTCCAATTTGAGGATTACTAACTGAATCGCGAACCATAACTAATTCAAGATTAAAAGCACGTATAGTATAATAAACTTTTTGAAGATGCTTCGGATAAAACATTGACACAAGATAATTTTCTGGATCATGCTTTCTAAAATGATATTGTAATAAGGTAGTATATATATATTTGAGATAGGAAGGGTAATTACAACAATAAACGCATCTCGCACCTAACAAGATCACTGCAATACTTTATTGCCGCTTCTAATTTTTGACCTTCCTCCCTTTTTTCTGTACCATTTGATCTAGTGTGAAAGCATTTTCTACCAATATGACTGGAAATTTCTAAGCATTTAAAGCTTCTACGCACAAAGACTCGATTCATCAATTATTTCAAAAATCGTTTATGCACATGTGATTTTGATATGTGGTACGCTGATTTTTTTTTTTAGATAACGGTGGATTTTGACCGGCGTTAAGAAATTAAAATTCATAATTCGGTCGTATCAGGTGATTTTGGATCCAGAATATAGGTTTAATCCACATACACCTCTATTTTTTATGAACACGTCTCCAAAATGTCGTTTCCTGAAGTGGTAGTCATTCTCTTAGACATATCAAAGGCAATGTTGGCACCAGCAAACCAACTTGATTCAAAGTTAAAGTGTGCTATAACAGGTATTACGAATTATCGAGCCAGTGCTATTACTTAAGACACTAAAATTATTAATACTTTACTTTAGGAATAATTCACTTTTTAAAACTCTGCCCGTGGCAAACAATTACATGCATCACTTTTACTTCGAACTGTAAAGTTCTGCAAGAATTTACTAATGATCATACCTTATTAACCGAAGCTTTAAATAAGTATGCTATCTAATTTGTTATTCTTCGAATAAATAACGCGTTGAAAATATGATTTTACTTTTTATATAGGTGGGAGTTTCGCTCGGACGACCCCTCCGGGGAAATACAAGTGGCCTTGGAATTCGCTGAACATTATGTAATTGAGAAGTTCGGTTCAAGTCAAGCGTGTCAAATTATTGTAATTACAGATGGTCGAATACCACAAGGTACAACAGTGTTTTCTGAAAATAACATCTATGTTACGGGATTTATGATATACATACATATATATAAATGTAGATTCGAATTTCACCAAAAATTCCGAGTCCCATTCTGCTAAATTCCATAATCCTCTCTGGCGACTTCATATTATTTGCTTAGCGGATGAAGTTAGTAAAGATGATCATTCAAAACAAACCAATTATACATTGCAATGGTATAAAAAACTTTTAAACAGACATTTACCGTCCAGAATTACTAAAAATCACCCTAAAGGTGAATTTACTCTTGAAAAAGAAGGGGCCTTTTATTTCTTACTGTATCCCCACACTACATATAAAATCACGAATGCTATTAACGTGATTGCTGAAAAATACCGTATCCTTAACTTGTACTAATGTGTAAACGGGGTCTTTGTCTCGAAATGGTCTTATGGAATATAGCCAATTATATTATCAAAACTTGATTTTCAAGGCAAAGACACCAAATAACTTTTGATTATATTTAATTATATTCCCTTTAAAAACTATCCTATCTATATAAAGTTGTACCATGTAAGGGCATCCTTTCTCTTGGAAAAATAACTATGTCAATACACATATATCCTATCATCCATATCGATGATGGTGGTAATTTATTTATTATTTAATCTTAATAATCTTAATTAACCATAACGTCTTTTATTAATTGATTTTACATCTCGATTAAAGTACAGCAATCGATAAAAATTATGTCTATTGTGGGATTTAAGCCAAAAGAAGTACTACAAGGGGAATCTACTTATCTGCGATTTTGGATGTTTTTAAATGATGAAATTAAAGAAAATGAGGTATAAATTAAATCAATCTATTCATTTTAATAATAGCAAATGAATTATTAACCTTTATGATATTTTTAATATAGTGCAATGAATATTTTCACGTCTTAAGTTCATCATTGAAAAAAGAAAATCGAGTAGCAATCGTTTGGTTGCAAAACAATACATACGCCACCATAGAAGCACCGCCTTCTGGGTCATGTATGTTTTTTTGAATTAATATTGTGTGTTGCTACGCTAACATTGGTGTGTGAATTGACATATTTTTAAACTGGCTAATTGAATAGATTTCTATTTCACAATGTATTCACATGAAAGTGCAAAAAATTTGATGATCCCATCATCGACACTTATAAATACGCAGCCCAAGAGTTATTTATCTAATAACATCGAATTACCTAAAACAGAATTTGTTGAGGTATTATAACTGGATTTAATGTACCGTAGTTTTCCACATAAACGCCCATTACGATAGGCCCTTTATAGTAGACCTGGGTTTGATAAAAGTTGAAGAATACTAGACCTTTGATAGTGGTACCTTCCTTTACAACCCAGGGTCTAGATCGGTTTTTAGATTTAAATAAGAGATCCTGGGTAGAGTTTGGAACCGGTTTTATTTTTCATATGTTAAAACCGGGTTTAATCGGTTTTAACATATGAAAAATAAAACCGGTTCCAAACTCTAATCCTGGGTTGCTTATGTAGCAAATTACGGTAGAAAAATTCAAAAGCCTTGTAGGTTAAAATTTGACATATAAGACACATCAATCTCATTTAAATAGTCGATGTTGAATAAAATCCCAAGATACGTTGCAAATTTGCCGAATGAGACTGCCAAATTAACAACTGTGTAAGTTTATTACCATAATTTTTGTTTTCAATAGCAATGTATGTACATCCATTATGACAAATGTTTACTATGCATACTCAGTATTCAGCAAATTTCGAGAATTACTGATATGTTTTGCTATACATCGCTTCGGGAAAAAGTAATTGAGAATTTGCAAGACCTACGGTAAATGTTTATACAAAATTTTCATTTCCAATCCACATTTAATAACCTGATAATTTCAATTTATAGAATTCAATCACCAGAAGCTGAGAACCGGGCAATCCTTACGCAATGCTTACAACTATTAGGTGATACCGACTTAGAAGAGGAAGATGATGAAATTGAAGCAATGGATTATGAAGAAGAAAGAGAGGATCCTGAAGACTACAAAGATCATAGAAATGAAGAACGTAGTAATGCTAGGATCTCACTCAATGATTTGTTGAATTGGTGATAAATATATGGAGTGTTCCCTTTTAAAAGGGCCCATTTTTACATTTGTTTCATTTTGAGATAATTGAGTTTAATTATTGTTTTGATTTTCGGACTGATCCGGATTAATTTAATTTCACGATTTTGATTGGTTAAAGGTAACAGGTGACTATCGGGTAATCTCGTGATGCGTTTGCCTTTGGAATACTCGTTAAATATTTCTTTTATATTATCTTGATTTTTTATTATGCAAATCGACTTTCATTTATAATTGAAAAATGTCGATCATGTCAAAATTTATATGAATCTAATAAAAACTCATTTTTCGAAAAATGTAAAAATGGGCCCTTTTAAAAGGGAACACTCCATATAGTGCCGATCATAATAATGCAGCAAAAAAATATATACCGTATTTCGCCATATAGAGTACCCGGGGTCTCTTACTATCTATACCGGTTTTTCTTGATTTATACCCCCCGGGTATACTGTATGGCAGAGGGTATACTATATGGGGGGTCTTGTGTACAGGAGATATATAATATAGAACAATTTGTCTGGTAAAAGACCCCCCAAGATTTTGATTTATATATGTCGCGTGTATGAAATCTTGTTTAATTTGTCGTTTTACAATCCCCAAAGTTTTTAACAATTAATCCCCAAAGTTAATCCCCCAAAGTTTTTAATAGTTAAAATTTATTTTAAATATGGAACAAGCAAGATATACACCTATGACAAGACTTCAAATAAAAAAACGTCAATGGACAGCACGTGAAAAACTTTATATTCTTACATACCTTGATAGGTAGCAGTAGGGATTTTAGTTGGTTTGTTCGATTCTATTTATTAAAAAGTTTTTTTTTTACAATAAATGTACAACCAGAGTTCCAGGTGCTACTATTCGCGGTACTGCTGATAAATTTGGAATTCAGCCGAAACAAATACGAGATTGGCGTAGTAAAAAGCAAGAGCTTATGCTTGCACAACCTCATATTAGGCGTTTAAATAGTGGCCCACGGCCTGCTTACCCTGAACTTGAAGTAGAACTTGCTACATGGGTTAAAAATTTACGCAGTAATTTAAAAGCTGTTAGTCGTTCTATGATACAAGCAAAAGCAGCCAGTTTAGCTAGTTTGCCCCAAAATACAAATCGGTTTCCTCATATTAGTTCATTTACATGGAGTAATAAATGGTTGGACGGTTTTATGCGTCGTTACAAATTTAGTAATCGTCGTAGAACTACAGTTGCGCAACATTTACCTGCAGATTTAGAGACTAAGCAACAAGAATTTTTAAATCTTATTCAATATCGTCGTATTCAACATGATTATCCATTATCATTAATTGGAAACATGGACGAAACACCACTTACTTTTGATATGCCATCTAATATGACAGTTGATACTATAGGAAGTAAGACAGTTAGTATTAGAACCTGTGGACATGAAAAATCTAGTTTTACTGTAGTTCTCGGTTGTATGGCGGATGGAACTAAATTACCACCAATGGTTATTTTCAAGTTAAAAAATATTCCACGGCTTAGATTTCCACCAGGCATAATTATTCGTGCTAATGAAAAGGGGTGGATGAATACAGAGGAAATGATTTATTGGATTGACTACGTATGGAATTATCGTACACCAAATGCTGATAATCCACGATCATTACTTGTTATGGATTCTTTTCAAGCACATATAGTCTCTCCTGTTAAAAATCGTATTTCAGAAAAAAATACTAATCTTGTTGTTGTTCCTGGAGGCTTAACACCAAAAGTTCAACCTCTTGATGTTGCAATCAATAAATCGTTCAAGTCAAAGGTCTATTTTTTTATTTTATTAATTGATTTATTTATAAAGATTTAATTTTAATTTAATAGATTAGAAAGTTTTATAACGATTGGATGTCTCAAGAAATAAAAAAATTAACTCCAACTGGCAAAATTCAACGACCCGCATATAATATTATTGCTGAATGGATTAAAAATTCATGGGATTCTGTTGATACACAGCTTATTCAACGTTCTTTTAAATGTTGCGGTGTGTCAACTATGATGGATGGATCTGAAGAAAACATGATCTTTGATTATGATAGTTTAGGTAATTATGATCGTGATAGTATCATTTATTAAATTAATTAAAATTATTGACTACGTATTATCAAAATAATATTCTATACAGATGGGTTTGAACATTATGAAACTAGTGACAATGTTTATAGTAATGAAGAAGTTTTTGAAGAACCTAATTCCGTAGTTCAAGATCAAGCACCCTTTATGACATTTAATGAAAATCAAGAATGTAACGAGTTTGAATCATATTATATTTTACAAGAAGCAGGCAATTATATAAACTGGTGGGATTAAATTTTATATTAGGTATGAATTCAATTTTTAAGTTCTGCAAACATAAATCGATAATTATATTAAAATATTTATTATAAATCAATAGTCCATGGTGAACTTTATAATATGGTTTTACAATATAGTCGTAATGAGAATTTACGAAATTACCTGAAAGCAAATTTTATAAAACTGCAATAGGCAGATAAATTACATATCGTTAAAGAAATAAGCTTTGATTATACTTGTTTTTAAATGGCATCATTATTGGTAATAAAATAAATGTCATTTAATGTTTATATTGCAATGTAGATGAGAATCGAAAGAGCTTTAAATGTATCATTGAATTCTTTTAAATAATAAACCCGGTAATATACCCGGTCTTGTACCAAAAATACAGGTTATAAACCTGGTAATGTACCCGGTATAAATCAAGGGGGGTACAGTCAACCAGGGGGTACTCTACAAGGCGAAATACGGTACTCAAAAAAGTAAGCAAAATAGCTCACCCTACCTGCTGATCATCTATAATACAATAACAGTTATATGACATTCTCTAACCAAAACAACAAACCTAAACCTGTCAGATTCTGCACCAACAGACCCTGACTTAATAGAAATATTCCTACCACCTAACCAAAACAAACTGAATTTAGAAGCAATGCCCCAAATACACTCAGCCTCCATACAAAATCAGGACCCACACCAAATCGAAACTACCCCCAAGGATCTCCAGACACTGAACCAACTGCCTGACTACTACCAGACCCACCTCATATCTATAGCCAAGCACTCTGATCACAATCACCTGCCAAAAAAACCCACCTCCGAACCATCAGCACTATGGAGTATCCAAGTTGCCCAAACAATAGCAAGCCGGAACAAACCCTTTGACTCAAATACTTGGACTAATAAAACTATACTCAATACACTCGAGGATGCAACCCAATTACATACCTTTCTTAGCCACAAAGCCACTAAACAACCTACCTATTTAAACTTATCTACAGCAATACAAGTTAAATTTAACTACCTTGACACAGCCTTCTTTAAATCCTTTACTTGTGATAAACAGACCACCCCTCTTACCAAAAAAAAATTGAAACTCTATACAATATGGCCCTTGAAAAATATAAACACCAACACAATACCCAATTCATCAATAAAAATAATAGAAACCAAATCTTGCAAAAACTTAAAATTAAACTAGCAACTAATTATATTACTGATATTAACTTCATTAAAACCAACCTACATGATATTGCATAAAAGATTTACTACTATGCCAATTTTGCCAAAATTAACATATCTACAAGCTTTGAAGATCTCTGAAAACTCATATGAACTGTAAATACAGAATGTCTTGACCCTCTTTTAGACACATCTAAGAAAATTCCTAATAATATCTACCTTTTGAACTACCCATAAAAGAAACAAACCACATATGAGCAATCACACCAGCACTACAAAAAATATACAGATTTGAAAAATTACTGAACAAATATTTTGCAAAAGCATGACTTGAGCTTTCTAGCAACCCACCGAACTTCACCCTACTGTTAAAAACCTATTCCCTATCACTGATCATGCCACACTCCCCTACCTGTTCAAATACTAGAGAAAGCTAGAAAAATTATACAACTTTAATAAAATTCTACCTAACTACTTTCAACTACCAGATTCAAAACCACCTCTTCCACTCTCACCCTAACAACTTCCTCACAACATTTGCCATCTCTTCCCCTGTAGACCAAAAAATACAGAAAATATCAAAAAATTTATAAACCTACTTCAGCCCTATTATGGCTTTAGAAAACTCCCAAGCGATTATATTATCAAACTTTCTCACCTACCTTTTGATTCTAACACAATCAAAATTGAACATACTTACACTTACCCAATTATTGACAAACCTCTAGCAAAAAGATTTTTAGCCAAAGTTCAAGGAAAATATTGTTTCAATCCCCCTCTACCAAAGGAATATATACTTGTCAACCCTACTAACAAACTAGAACTATCCACAAATCCATGTTTAATTATCCAAATAAACCTTACAACCCCAATCACCTCACCCAAGCAACTAGTAGATATCACTAGAGAACTAAGAAACTACTACTATTTTACTGAAATTTCCTTAAGCTGGATAAATATTTTACATAAAACAAGCCCAAGAGAACACAGAGACAAACCAATGCTGCCCCAAAACCTTGAAGAACTAAACTAACAACTTCAACAAATTAATTCAACTCTTGCTTCAGCCTTCCTCTGTCAGAACCACCTCACTGTAGCTAATAATATAAATAAACTCAAAGAACACTTCAATTTTAATCTAGTGCCAGACTATCTACTCAACCTACTAGACCTACCAGAACCTGAATAGCCTATTTTTGACAACTATACTCTCTACAACATCTCCACCAAGATTACTACTCTATGCTACCCCACTCAGATCACAATCACAAAAAATAACCTCATGCCAGATCAATCAATGGACTTAACATGAACATTACACCCTGATTATTAATGACTTACTATCAACAGAATCACTAACAACTGACTTATCAAATCCCAGTATTACTCTACCCTATAACTTGAATACAAACCCCAACACTTCAATACTAATCTCCTCTCTCAATATTTTTAACCACAATATACAAGGCATTAACCAGGACTTCAAACTTCAGTTA